GCGTACAATAACAGCGTGCATTTGTCCACATGCCGCACTCCCAACGAACTGCACAAGTCCTTTCGACCACGCAGACCGTTTGAGGGGCTCAACCGGGATCAGATTCATAGATTGCCGCCCAGGACCAGGGAGTTTGCTGTACAGCACGAGAAAGAACTAGCTACTATTGTCGAGAACCTCAGGAAAGCCCAGCATAAGATGATAGAGCAAGCGAACAAACACCGTCGCCCTTCACAGTTTCAGGTAGGCGACTTAGTCTGGGTTAGTTCTAGAGAATTTGCACCTGAGGAGAACATCTCGCAGAAGTTACTGCCCACATACAGAGGGCCGTGGCCTGTTCTGGAAGTCAAGGGCGGCGAAGATGGACCGTCCTACACCATAGAGTTACCAGCACACCTCCACACTTACCCAGTTTTCCACAAATCGAAGTTACTACCTTGTCAGACAAGTGATCCGTTTCCATCCCGTAGATCTATGATTCCACCCGATATGGATGGAAAGTATGACATCGATGGCATAGTGGCTGAAGACGTATTCAGAACTGGAGGTAGGGGTCGTCCACAGAAACAGTATAAGGTTCATTTTAGCTATCAAGAACCGGAAGACGACCGCTGGTTTACAAGATCTGAACTTCTAGAAACAGCTCCCGATATAGTCCGAGCTTACGAGAGACAGCAGAGGGGTAAAGGTCCTGCCTTGGACTGAAATTTTCTCGGAGGACCTCGAATTTAGGCCGGCGGGAGTGAAACGGTATTCACCAGTTCGCAGTAGCGAATGCAGATCCTAGGGCTCGATCCCTAGTTCCCCGTCTTACCTGTGTATAGTATTAGTGTCAACCCGTAGGCTTGAACCCGCGACCTGTAGGACCGCCAGTGGTAGGCAGGTTTTCGTAGGTCACAGCGTAGAAGGGAATCGAACTGTAGACTTGTAGGGTAAGAGTCTAGACAGTTCCGAAGTCGTAGCTGTAGGATGTCTGAAGGGTCAAGGTCGTAGCTGCTACTTACCTGAAAGGGCAAAGTCGTAGCTGCTACAGTACCGAAAGGCCAAGTCGAGGTTTCTAGAACTGGCTTTTCGGAGACAGCCCCTGTTTAGGCCGAGGCAAGTGGGCAAGTGGTATAGGTCCACTACGCAGAGTCAGCAGTCCCAGGTAGCCCAGTCCGGTCCAGTCAAGTACCGTCTGGGACTGTGCACATCGTGGGCCAAGGGATACAGGGCAGACCAAGGCCGCACAGAAGTATAAATCAAGAGGCTGCGTCTAGCCTTTCATTCATTCCTGCGGATGCCATGCGGAAGCGCTGCCTCAGCAGCTTGTGTGAGGAGGTCTGCAGTGCGCCCGAAGTCGAAGTGGGCAGTGAAGTGTAGTATAGCGATAGGGTAGTGGCAGCTAGCGCTGCCATAGCTGTAGTACAGTGTGTGTGTGTGCTGCGTATGAGCACTGAGTGTTGCGTGTGGGACATCCAGGGTGATCCAGAGTGCGAACAATGAGTTGTGTGGGCGCAGAGCCGCCATAGCCAGTTGACGAGAACTCTTATCCGGTTACGATATCTTTGAGTACTGTGTGGGCGCATGTCGCCAGTTTGCTGTATCGCTGTTTGCATGCAAGACAAGTGTGAATAATCCGAGTCTGATTGCACCTGAACTCTCATTTGTTTAATATGATAATCCATTGAAGTTTCTAAAGCTTTTCTAATTCATTGCTCTAATTCTCTGGTGTGGTGTGGATCTTCGTGTGAATTTTCATGGTTGCAAATCTGATTGTGGGGGAAATTGAAAGCTGTTCATTGCACAGTCCTCCATCGGTGCTTGAGGAGGGTGAAGCCACAGAAGGCAGCTCAGTTAAACAGAACTTTAATCATTCATTGCTCACATTGTGTATCCCTTTTGCTTGACTGGCTCCATGCAGGTGACTTTGCCTCTTCTCACATATCATCTGGCACATGCAGTCAGGCATCTGAGCTCTCTGAGGGCAAGAGCTTGCCTGTTCGCGATCTGTACAGCTTTGATGGTATGCTCCTTCTTCGTGTCTCTAAATAGGGGGGCATCAGTAGCCTCATCGTCTCATTCCCTGCTTCTTTATTTGGCATGCCATAGGGGTTTTCTTTGCTCTTTCCTCTGCCCTGCCATCTGTGTGACATTTAGTGAATCAATTGAACTGAGGTGGTGCAGGTGGAATTAAGAGCGTTGCATGGGATTCTCGGGACAAAACAAGGTAAAATGGATAAGACGAGAAAAAGAGGAGAAGAGGGAGAGAGGAGGAGAAAAGCAAAAATGGGGGGAGGAGAGTAGAAGATATGGCATGTTGGAGGAAGGAGAAGCAGAGAGGAGGAGGGCAAGAAAGGAGGAGGCGGCAGGTGGAATTAACAGTGTTGCATGGGATTCTTGTGACAAAACAAGACAAAATGGAGAAATAGAGGGAAGAGGAGGAGAGGAGGAGAAAAGTGAAAACAGGAAGAGGAGAGTAAGAGAGATGGCATTCTGGAGGAAGTAGAAGAGGAGAGGAGGGGGTCAAGAAAAGATAAGGAGAAGAGGAGGAGAAACAGGGAAACAATAGGAAAGATGCACGGATGAGAAAAGAGAAGAGAAGAGGAGGGGAATAGAAGAGAAGATGGGAAAAGGAAAGAAGAGAGTAGAAAAGATGTCATGGGGAGCCGAAGAGCACTCCAGTGCTCGAAACTGTATACTTCCCTTTGCTGCTAAGAACCTGTAGGTCTATTGTGTGCCCCTCCTTTCATCAGTCTTTTTGAACATCTGCTTTCATCCGTCTAGCTCATCGCCACCTCTCTGGACTATGTTCATCACTGTTGTTTGGCTAATCATGCGCCAATAACCAAAGCTTAGAGCCTTCTTTCCCCCCTCACCTTTGGGATGTCCTTTCCCCCTAACCTTGGAATCGGGCTCCATTTGAAGAGTGCAAAACAAGTATAAAAACCCATATTGATTCCATACAGGAAAATGTCCCGAAAAGTTCTCTCTTCCTGTTCCCAATTTCCCATTCATTTCACACTTTGTCTGGATTTCATGATTGATGGGTTTATGCAGGCCCCAGGGTCAACTGCCCTGGGTGGTTGTCAGGAGGAGGGAGAGAGAGAGAGAGAGAGAGAGAGAGAGAGAGAGAGAGAGAGAGAGAGAGAGAGAGAGAGAGAGAGAGAGAGAGAGAGTGCGTGGCCCAGTAGTAACCACCCATTTTTTTACTGGACACGATTGTAGTCAAATACATCGAGGGTTACAGGCAGGTTACAGAAGCTTAAGCACAGTTAGAGTGGGTGGGACTTTGACGGATGTGATTGTGTTCAGCTACATTCAGGAAAGTCCTATTGTGAGTATGCTCTTAGGCGTTTATGAGCTTGATCAGGTGCACAGCAGTGGTCGGGAAACACAGATTGCATTGGAATGTCTTGTGTGTCTTCACTTTTTTGTTCTTGTCCTTTTTTTTAACTCAATTTTCCATTATATTGCAAGGCTTCCAACTCACTGGATGAAAGGAATACTTGCAGTTTTTATGTTCTTTTGTCAAATTTTTAAAAACTTTTTTGAAGTTTTTTCCCTTTTTACTGTTTTCAGGCTTTTGTTTTTGTATTTTGCAATTAATCCATGTTTATTTATACTCCCTGATTTCTCTGTGGTTCAGGTCAGGGGTGGAGATGCACTCTTGCACCCTTGGATAGGACTGATCCAGCGGCTGACAATGAGGATCTTACTTTGGCCTCTGGCGAGTGGTGGAGAAAGTGGACGAGGTACGCCCTATACCAGTATTCCCTACCATCTTTCCCTGAACGCAGCACACCCTGTTCAAGAAAGGAACGGAAGTAAACATCCTGTATGTCCTTCTCATTGCTGAAGTTGTTGTGTTGATTCTCCAGATCCTCAAAAGGAAGCACATGCTGCAATGGACCTCTTTGCTGTTATCATTCGCATTGAGGCTATGGTGGCTCATGCAAAAGCAAAGACAGCACAGGTTGAATATGCTCACAAAAGCGAAGGATCTCCAGAAGACCCCAATACAAAGGCTGGTGAGTACAAATCTCTCTCTCTCTCTCTCTCTCTCTCTCTCTCTCTCTCTCTCTCTCTCTCTCTCTCTCTCTCTCTCTCTCTCTC